TGCTCCATCCATGTAACACATCTAATGCCATTTTGCCAGCCAGGATCTGCCAGAATTAGCACTTCTCATTGCAGCATCCCTGCTCCACAAATCCTCCCTCAAACAGGCCCCTTTCTGCATCTTTTCCCCACATTATGAGTTCCCCCCAAAATGCACACTGAGCTGGGTAATTGGATATTTGTGGAGAGTCACTTATCTGGAGGTGTCCTGCGCCCTGGCTCTCAGAAGACTCAGCCCTCAAAGGCAGCAGCCCCTCCCACTCTGTGGTCACTGCATCAGTCTAGAACAGTCCAGCCCGTTGCCTATCAGTGGTCAATATGACCAGGAGATAATATTCCCAGAGCCTCCATATTGTACTCCAAGACCTGGCCCCAGGTTTGGGGTATGGCCTTGGGGGTGGGATTCCAGGATCACAGTGGACAGATGAGGATGTCCATGCAGCCCCAAAGCGTTGCCTGCACGGGGAGCCGTGTAGACTTTACCATACAAAGTGGGTACCTGTGACCACTTGGGAAATAACCACCTTGCAGCATAAGTAGAGATGGGGTCTGGAATTTTTCCAGAAATGCCTCTTGCCAAGGGAACTCCAGCTCAATGAATAACAGCTACAAACAGCCATTTTCAAATCCTCCAACCCAGCAAGCTATTGGAAGTGTGATGCTTGCTATGTATTTTATCTTTGCATCCTTGTCTTGTCTATCATCTTAGAAAGCCCTGTGTGGGACGGCCACCAACTGAAGACAAATCCTTGCTCAGCAAATCTCAGCAGCGTTACCTTTGGGTTTGGTTGGTTCTGTGTGGTGCTAGCTTGTTTGCAAAGCAGCTGGTGAGTAAATAATGGCTATTCATACAAATCTACAAGGTTGTAGAAAACCTCTCTGATCAGCTGTATTGAGGCTGTAAGTTGTAATTCAAGACCTCCCTGGAGATATATTTTTCCCTTTTCTGTTCTGTTTTTTTTTTTTTTAAGATAACATGTCACTGTGTAGCCCAGGCTGGCCTGGAACCCCCAATCCTCCTGCCTCTGCTTCCCAAGTGCTGGAACTACAGGTATGCACCATCATACTTGGCTACTTGGAGAAATTTTGAAAGGGAAAAGGTTTTGCTCAGGCAACCCCACCTGAAGGGCCTTTTCCTCTCTTTAGCAATAGTAACATTACCAGTTAGTTACAGGCATGGTGGCACATGCCTGTCGTCCCAGCACTAGGGAGGCTGAGGCAAGAGGGCCATGAGTTCAAGGACTGCCTGAACTACAGAGCAAGTTCAAGGCCAACAAACAAACCAACAACAAAAGTTAGTTACCTCTGATTGATTTACCATGTGCCCAACCCTGTTCCAAGAACTCCACAGAGATCTGGTCATCAGTGCTCACAGTGACAGAGTGCTGCCAGTGGAAATTCTCACTCCCTGTAGCACAGATGAGAAAGCAGCTACCATTAAAACCACACTAAGATTCCACCTCACCCATTAGAACAGCCATCATCAGCAACACCACCAACAACAGGTGTTGGCGAGGATGCGGGGAAAAAGGAACCCTCTTACACTGCTGGTGGGAATGTAAACTAGTACAACCACTCTGGAAAAAAATTTGGAAGCTACTTAAAAAGGTAGACATTGATCTACCATTTGATCCAGCAATACCACTCTTGGGATATACCCACAAGACTGTTACTCCAGAGGCACCTGCACACCCATGTTTATTGCAGCACTATTCACAATAGCCAAGTTATGGAAACAGCCAAGATGCCCCACTACTGATGAATGGATTAAGAAAATGTGGTATCTATACACAATGGAATTTTATGCAGCCATGAAAGAACGAAATGTTATCATTCGCTGGTAAATGGATGGAATTGGAGAACATCATTCTGAGTGAGGTTAGCCTGGCCCAAAAATTGTATGTTCTCCCTCATATGTGGACATTAGATCAAGGGCAAACACAACAAGGGGATTGGACTTTGATCACAAGATAAAAGCGAGAGCACACAAGGGAGGGGTGAGGATAGGTAAGACACCTAAAAAATTAGCTAGCATTTGTTGCCCTCAACGCAGAGAAACTAATGCAGATACCTTAAAAGCAACTGAGGCCAATAGGAGAAGGGGACCAGGAACTAGAGAACAGGTGAGATCAAAAAGAATTAACCTAGAAGGTAACACACACGCACAGGAAATTAATGTGAGTCAACTCCCTGTATAGCTATGCTTATCTCAACCAGCAAAAACCCTTGTTCCTTCCTATTATTGCTTATACTCTCTCTACAACAAAATTAGAAATAGGGGCAAAATAGTTTCTGCCAGGTAGCAAGGGGTAAGGGGAGGTAAGGGAGGGGGTGAGGGAAGGGGAGAGAAATGACCCAAACATTGTTTGCACATATGAATAAAATAAAAATTAAAAAAAAAGAAAGCAGCTACCACCACCCAACACAAGGAGCCTCCCAGGTCCCCCTCAGACCACAAGCTCTCTGCAATGAACACGACAATGAACTGTGCTCATTCCTCCATGGGAAATGAAAGAAAACCTATGTACAGCAGCCAAAAGGTGGAAGCAATTCTAAGAGTCCACAGATAGGTGACTAGACAAACAGAACGTGGTGTGTACAGGCGGCGGAATATTATTCTGCCTTAAAAAATGAAGGAACCTGGGCATGATGGTGGGTATACCAATCTGGGCAAGGTTAGGCAAGAGACCCTACCTGAAAAACAAACTAACATCAGAAGGACTGGGGCATGGCTCAAGTGCTAGAATGCTTGCTCATCTAAGTGAAATAAGCCAGTCACAAAAAGACAAGTCTTGTGTGAATTTAGAGACAGAGAGAAAGTGGAACGGTGGTCCCCAAGCTGGGGGGAGGGCGTAAGAGAATTCCTATTAAATGCGTGCAGAGCTTTGGTTTGAAAAGGAAAAAAAAGTTCTGGAGATGGAATGGGTGATGCTTGCACGCTGAGGACTTACTCAGAACCACTGGACTGTACACTTATTATAGGTAAAATGGTAACTTTTATGCTGTATAGATTTTACCAAATAAAAATGGCTCTCTGCAGAAAAGAAAGAAATGTGACATTAAAAGTAGTCACTCATTCATACATCTGTTTTTAAAAATCAGTGCAAAACTTGACTCATGCAGTTCACAAAGATTTCAGGGGAGCCAGGCAGTGCACTGAGCAGTGGCATGAGGACGCTAGGATGAGATACAGTCAGTGAATACCGTAAAATCTTAGCACAGCACAGTGTCTGCTGGGTGCCAGGGACTCGGTCAGGTAGGGCACCTACTTTAACCCAAATCATCCTCCTGGCAGCCCGGAGGCTGGACCATCCTCACCTCTGTACAGGGGACTGGGCGTGGAGGTACACACCTATTGTCCCAGCACTTGCGAGGCTGAGACAGGAGGATTGAGAGTTTGGGGGCAACCTGAGCTATGCAACAAGACTCTTCCTCAAAAAAGAAACAGAATAGGAGGTACAGAGAGGCTAAGAAAGTTGTCCAGGGTTAGAGAGGATCGTACCCAAGCAGTCAGGATCAGAGTCCACGCTTGTAAACAAATGGTGTGCGTGTGAGTTGGGCGGGGTGGGGGTGACAATCACAGTCCCGGGATGCAGTGAGCACAAATCAACTTGGAGGTCAGGAAGGGTCCCTGGGAGAAGAGACTTTTGAGCTAATTTGCAGAGCAGAGTTTGACTAAACTACAGCCTGTGGGCCAAATCCTGCCTGGTGTCTAGTTTTGTACATAAAGTTTTATCAGAACACAGCCATGCTCATTTATGTACAAACACATATGGCTGCTTTCATGCTACCGGTGGAATGGAGCACTTGCGACAGCAACCATAAGGCTTACAAATATTCATCATTCCAACCCTGTTCCAGTGGGCTCAGAGAAATGTTCCACGAAGACCAGCAAGAAGGTGCACGTCACCCGTGCCTTCTCAAGGTATCTCGCAGCTCCCCACGCCCTGTTGCACCTCAGCACAGACAGCCATGCCCTCTCACTGACACTTCCAGAGCCTCCTGACCCCCCTGTCCACTCTTGGCCTCTGCAACCCTCCCTCCACCCAGAAGGAAATGAGATGGACCAGGGATGAGACTGGCAAAATATTCTGCCACCGTCCTTTGGCTGCCCTCCTCCCTGTCAATCTGTCTACTCTGCCCAGTGTAGGGTCCCTGTGGGCAGTTCTCGCTCACCCCTTGCTTCTTCCCTCACAACACTGCTATCACACTTTGCAATTATTTGGTAGAAACTTCTGTTTAGTCTGCCTCCTGCATACTGGGGCCAAACAGTAGCAGATGTGGGAAGGCGTAAAATGGGGGTCCCTACAACTTCCATCAAACCCTGTCTGCGGCCTGCTAAATCTCCCCAAATACACAAGCAAAAGGGATTTGCAAATATAGACTCCCCCGTGCCTCCTGAGGACAGGGAGCACGTTCGTGTGGCCCCTCCCCTTATTCCTAGTGACCAGTAAGGTCTTGGGCACCCACCATGCCCTCTGCATTTGTGTGGACCTGGGTGTGTGTGGCAGGGGAGCACAAAAGACCCTAGTGAGCCAGCCAGAGGTGTGGGACAATGTGATGGACCCCAACAAGAGAGCAGCACAGCAGGCACATGGCCGTGAGAGCAGGAGGAAGAGGGGGGCAGATGCAGGAAGTCCTTGACTCCTTAAATTCAGAAAGCACCCACCCCTCAACTGGGCGTCACCATGCTGTGAAAGCCTTTGAAAGTCAAAGGTGCGTGTCCCAGAGACCGGCTGGACCTGCCAGCTGGGACAGTGCCCTTCAGGGCTCCTGGTTCATGCTTGGCCCCGAGATGGAGAAGGTAGGCCTCATGGTTGCCATGGTGACAGCCAGGCCAAGCTCCAGCTCCAGCTCCATCAGCAGTGAGCGAGGGCTGCTTGAGTCCCCCAGGAGGCTCTTAGGCCCTGTCCTCTTTAGGGGTGGACAAGGTCACAGATCAGGGGATGACAGGACCCCCGGAGCACTCAGGCGTGGCACCCCAGCAAGGCGTGGGCTCACCTTGGCCAGCTGTGTCTGCAGCCTGTTCTTCATGTCCATCTCCTCAGAGATGCGGGCGTGGAAGGCCAGGTTGGTGTCCGTGTACTGCTTCCACATCTGGTCCGACAAGTTCTCAAACAGGTGCTCTGCCTCCTCCCGCAGCCGGATCGAGTTGGCTCGCGTGTTCTGAGAGTGTATGATGTTGTTGTTGCTGAACTTGGCCAGGTCTCAGGCACCGAGATCCTGCAGAGGCCAAGGCCAAGATGAAGTTGGATACCAGGGTTTCAACCTTGGCGTCGGGGTAGGGAAAACTCTTGTTGTGGGGGTGTCCTGTGCGCTACAGGCTGTCGGGCAGCATCTGTGGCCTACCCACTGGAGGCCACTAGCTGTGGTTGTGGAACAAGCACAGATTTTCCAGAACTGTCCCTGGGGAAGGGGAACAGTCATTCCCTGTTGAGGACAATGTCCTGATCCAACCCCCCGCCCCCCGCTTTCACTGGAGCAGCACTGCAGCCTAGAGGGGACAGATGACTTTCAAAAGGGCACTCAGCAAGTGGGCAGGAGGACAGGGCCCCTCATGAACCTTGGCCTGCCCCCAATCTCCACCAAAACAGGAGCCAGCCCAAGAGGAGGGCGGGGACACCAGGGTGGCTAGAACCCTCACCAGGGAGATTGTATGTGGCTGAGCTCCTCTCAATGACTTGGTCACTCAACCCGCGCTGGGTTTTGTTGGTGGTGTTTTGGTTTTTGTTTAGTTGGCTGCAGTGCTGCGGGTAGAATCCAAGCCTACGAATGCTAGAAAGCCCTTTCCCACTGAGCTATGTTCCCGGCCCAGTCCATGTCTTAAACACTCACCATGTCCACACATTATTTTAAAAATGTTTAATAACATCAATTGTTGTACAGGGGGTTTCATTGTGACCTCCATATGTGCTTACAATGTATCTTGATTAGATCTAGCTCCCTATCTTTCTCCTTTATCCTCCCCCAACTCAGAGTAATTTAACAGGTTTCATTGATCTATTTTCATACGTGAAAACAGCAATATCTCCACATGTTCATCTTCTTCATCTCTCCTTTATGCCCATCCCCCATGGTACCCAACTCCTGACAAGACCTGTTTTATCTGTCTTTCATTTTTTTAAAATATATATTGAAGCTCAAGGGTTTTTGGCCTTGGTATTTCAAACATATATACCCCAATCTTTAATTAATTAACCCTCTCTGTTCTTATTCTTTCTCTATCACTAGCGCTTGGCTCCATTATCTATTTTTTCTTGTTGAGACATGGTCTCACTATGTAGCACAGCTGGCCTTGAACTCCACCTCCAAGCACCGGGGTTTCACACCCAGCTTGCCAAGCATTTTGTAAGCATTTGGGATAGAGTCATGGCAAGAAAAACAGACATCCTGTCCCCAGGGCGATTAGCATCCAGAGGGGAGAGGACAGTAAACACAGGCGGCATGTACACATGGATCATGCTGGAAAGAAGGAATGGAGATGCAGGTGATGAAGGAGAGACTGGTGGTCACTCCACTCACACAGTTGTAAGGGAATGCAGGACACAGCAGTCCCCTCACTCATGGCTCTACTTTCTCCTGATCCCACCGAGTGAACCCAAACCGAGATCAGAAAATGTGACATGGAAAATTCCAGAAACAAAAAATTCCTGACTCTAAACAATTTATTACCGCATACTGTTATAATTATTCTATTGCATTAGTAGTTGCTGTTAATCTCTTCCTATGTATAATTCTATAAACTAAACTTTATTGGAAAAGGCCAGGCATGGTGGTGCACACCTATAATTCAGCAGTTAGGGCAGAGGCAGGAGGATCAAGCGTTCAAGGCCAGCTGGGCTACATAGTCAGATCTTGTCTCAAAAAACAAACAAAAGTCCAAAACCTAGTATTATATACCAGAATTTGGTACTATCTAAAGTTTCAGACATGCAGCAGGAGACCTTAGAATGTGCCCCACGAACAAAGAGGGGACTGCAGTGCTGAGATCAATGTGAGGGGTTCATGAATTAGAAAACAAGGGAAGTGTCACCACTCAGTCTGTGAGGACAAAAGGAGGGAGCAGAAGGTGTCACAAGGTCTGGAGAGCCAGGCGCTGGTGGCTCAAACCTGTAATCCTAGCTACTCAGGAGGCAGGAGTTCAGAAAGATTGTGGTTTGAAGCCAGCCTGGGAAAATAGTTCACGAGACCCTATCTCAAAAATACCCAATATAGGGCCAGTGGTGTGGCTTCAAGTAGTAGAGGTCTGCCTAGCAATGAGGCCTGAGTTCAAACCCATGTTGAAAAATACTTCTGGGAGAGGATGAACCATAGTCCGGGGTGGAGGAGAATCAATTGCAGCATCTCTCTCCGACAGCCCCATTTCTGCTGAACCCTCTTCCTGCTGGAAAGTAAAGGCACAGAACCCAGGAGAGCGATCTGTGGACAGTGCTCCTCTACAGGCACAAGGAGGGACTGAGGAATGGATCTGGGCGAGATTCTGGGTGATGATGGAGACACACAGGATAAATTAGCAAAGCTAGCAGGAATGCTTCATGGAGTTACACATGAGGACCCACGGTTCTTCCTGGAAGAAACATGTGAATCTCGCCACAAGCAACTCAGATCCTCTGGGCTTCCTCCTCTGAGCAATCTTTGCAAGTGGACCTGTTTTATTTTGAGCTGGCTTCAGTCCTAGGTAAACTAGACTAGATAACTCCTCAGGTCTGTTCTAGCCTGGAATCATTCTGAATCCTATCCACAAGCAAAAAGGATCCTCTTGGGGCTCCTCTAGAGCAATCTTTGCAAGGGGACCTGTTTTATTTTGAGCTGGCTTCAGTCCTAGGTAAACTAGACTAGATAACTCCTCAAGGTCTGTTCTAGCCTGGGAATCCTCCCATTCTTAAATAAGGCAGCTTTTTATTCTCAGGCAGCAGGAAAAGGAGCCAAAGTCTCTGAAATGTGAAATGTGTCTCTTTTCAGACATTTAAAGGGCACTGAGATCGCACGGTGGATAGGGTTTAAGCATCTCTTGGATGAGTGACTCTGGGCCTCGCTCTTGCAGATTTTGAAGTCAACCGACAGGCAGGGATCTTGGGCTTCTGAGACGGGAGGGACTCTGCCTGGTCCATAGCTTTTGTCCAAGCTTGAACTGAGGCATGCCTTGTCCAAGGTCACACACTACCCACTACCCCTCAGGAAACCAAGGAAGGAGAAAGGCCAAGGGCGGCAGACAGAAACCTGCTGATGTTTGCGAGTGTATCTCCTGCTGCCACGTGAGACCCTGTCAACGTCCTGTACACCATCCTCTAAGCCCTCGCCCTCCTCTGGCGCAGGCAGCTGAGCTCGCCAGAGAAAACAGCCTGCTTAGTCACACTGTCCCAGCAAATTTACCTAAGAAAGCCCGTCTCCTCGCAGGCCGCGTGCCTCAGTGGGGGGAATGGACTTTCCAGGAGCCTGTGTTCTCTGAAGATGGACGGCACAGCAGGCTTTGCCAGTTACATCACCATTGGTAAAACACATAAGTTCAGTGTCCATGGCAGGCTCAGGTGGCAGCTCTGCCACTTGCTGTGTGAGTTTAAGTCAGTCACTTCACCTCTCTGAGCCTTGGTTTCCTCATTGAAAATTGGGGATAATAAATGGTGCCTACCCCCCAGGGTGGCTGAGTGACTGACTGTGACATCCCTATTGTGGCAGCTGCTGCATAGTAAGCACTGGAATGTTTAGTATTCATGACGCACTGCTAGTAAAGCTCTCGGAACAGGGTCCGGGACATAGCAAAGGCCAGGCGAAAGGGCTCTCTAGTCACCATCAGACACCACTATCTATCATCATTACCGCCATCACCATCACCACCATCACCACTGCCGTAACCACCTTCACCATAAACACCATCACCACCATCACCAACATACCACCACCACAACCATCGTCACCATCACCATCACCAACAACATAGCATCACTGTAACCATCATCACCATCACTATCACCACCATCACCATCACCATACCACCACTGTAACCATCATCACCATCACCATCACCACCAACATAGCACCACTGTAACCATCATCACCATCACTATCACCACCATCACCATCACCATGCCACCACCATAACCATCATCACCATCACCATCACCACCAACATAGCACCACTGTAACCATCATCACCATCACTATCACCACCATCACCATCACCATGCCACCACCGTAACCATCATCACCATCACCATCACCACCAATATACCACCACCGTAACCATCATCACCATCACCATCACCACCACCACCAACATACCACCACCGTAACCATCATCACCATCACCATCACCACCAACATACCACCACCGTAACCATCATCACCATCACCATCACCACCACCACCAACATACCACCACCGTAACCATCATCACCATCACCATCACCACCAACATAGCACCACTGTAACCATCATCACCATCACCACCAACACAGCCATCACTGCCAACATACCACCACCATAACTCATCACCACCACCATCATCACCACCCCCATAACCATCATCACCATCATCACCATTAGCACTGCCATCATCACCATCACCATCACCATTACCATCACAATTATCACCATCACTACCATCGTCACCGCCACCACCATTGCTTAGTCCAGGGCAATGAGAACTGCAGTGAACAGAAACACCACAGTTCACCCTGTCACCAAATGTCCTCTTTAACCTGCCCAGACATGGCCCTGCTTTAAGAAGACCCTAAGTACAAAGCCCTGAGCTAGCACATCAGACAGCAATTAGTTGCCACCAACAGCAACTCTCACCATCCAACTGGACAAGAGACTGGAGATAGCAGGCATGGAGATGAGACTTTCAGCTAGCTGACCTGGCAGCAAGGATTCCTGGGAGGCGTCTTTTCAGGAAGAAGGAAGCTTGGGGCTCTCTGGGTAGGACCATGAGGGTTCTACCTTGTCAGGAAGAAGAGGAAAGGTCCCAGGAGCAACTGCTGCCGGAAATCCCAGAGGCTCATCTCAGCAATTCCATATTCTTAAAGATCCAGAAAGTGACCCCAGGCTTGGGCCAAAGAGCCTGCCACCAGGGACTTTTTTCCCTCGCTCCTCTCTCCCCTCTCTCTCTCTTCTTCTGGTCCATCTTCCCTCCTTCATCCTTTCTTTCATTCAACGAATGTTTATATATGTGTACAAGCTCTAGCTCATCTTTTACGAACAAAAGAGTGGGGGGTTGGGGTGGAGCCAGGACAGACCCCGCCCTCCGCCTGTACCCAAGCAGATCTCTCTCCAGCTCTCATCACCCCAGGTCTGTGACTTGAGAAAACACGTCTTACTCTGCCAGACTCCATGATGCAGTCATGTTGACATGCTCTCAACAGTGCCAGGCATACAAAAGACCCCTACCTTGCAGCTGCCAGGATGAAAAAATGAGCTCACACAGCAAGTGCTCAATAAGTATCAGCCATCATTATTCTACAAGAGGCTCCACGTGCCCACCTTCTGGTTCTCCCAGCATCCCTGGGTATCATTTTTCTTCCAGCGGTGCTGAGGCACAACTGGGGCCCACACTTAAGCATAACACCTTGCCCACATGAAGCCAGGCAGCCTGGCTGCAGAAGACACACTGCTACCACCCCCCAGCAATGCCCGGGCTGGATTCCTGCACCTTCTGATCACAGCCATTTTGTTTAATCACGTGCTTTGTCTTTCTGGAATTTGGATCTGGAACAAAGTGACCCAAATATGGAAAGATGGCGGCACTCTGACAACACAGCTGCCTAGCTCCCACTTTCCCTGGCTCCCGATAGGCTTCCAGTAAATCCCATCTGGTTTAACCTGGTTTAGTGCCACCGAGGATCCCAATCACCACACCACCTGTCACTTAACTGGCACATGACATCCCTTTATCACTCCTTGCTCCCATGGACACGGCCAAGGATGGGACAGAGCCAGTGCTTACATGCCATCAACTTTTTCATGCCGTGGAAGAAGCTAATGCAGTCGGACGTGTTTCTCAGGTTGAAGCACTTCTCATCGATACACTGGGCTGAGCTTTTGTCCTCGATGTCCCTCCAGGGCGTGCTGAGCATCACGGTTGTCCCTATGGGAGGAAGGGTTTGTACCTGGACTGTGCACTTACCAGTGTCCCCCACCTTTGATCACACAGTGATGGACGCAGAACCATGGCTGCAAGTCAAATCCCTGGATACTCAGGAAGGTGCACTGTCCACAGCCGGTGGCTTCTCAGCCTTCTTCCCACTTTGAAACCCCACCATGTGCCCAGAGTCACCCCCACTTGCACACCATCCTCCAATCCAAGCAGACCTGTTGTGAATGACTCTGTGCCGAGCACAAGGGGTTAAGACAAAAAAAAAAAAACCCCACTCACTGTCTTCACGTTGCTCAGATTTGTGTCAAATAGTGAGGGCAACACTGGAGGTTTTAAAAGGACAGGAAACCATTTACTCAGGATGAGAGAGCAGTCAGGGAGGGCTTCCTGACGAGGTGTCCCAGCTGGGCTTTCTCAACAAATAGGAGTGGACATTGTGATCAAAGTTGCCTGGGGGAATGAGAATTCCACACCTAGGACACCATGTGTGCAAAAACAGAAACGAGAAATACCGTGGTTCTCAGGGACCAGTAAGCAGTGTCTTAAGGCAGACCAGTTGGGGATCAGAGATTGGGTGGGGTCAGGGGTTTATGGAGTCAGACTGGGTGGGGTTACAACTGGGTGGAATCAAGGACTGGGCCCAAGTGAAAAGACAATCAGATGGGGCCAGAACTTGAGCCTGGGAGGAATTTTTTTTTTTTTGCAGTAGTGGGATTTGAACTCAGGGCCTTGTGCTTGCTAGGCAGGTGGCTCTACTGCTTGGCCACTCTTCCAGCCATCCACTTTTGCTCCAGTTATTTTGGAGATAGGGTCTTGCTTTTGGCCCTACTAGCTTAAACCACGATCCTCCCATTTTACACTTCCTGCTGTAGTTGGGATAAAGGCGAGGCGAGGGCCACCATGCCCATCTTTTTCTGTTGAGGTGAAGGAAATCTCGTGAACTTTTTTGCCCAGGCTGAGCTCGAACCACACTCGTCTGGATCTCAGCCTCCCGAGTAGCTATGATTACAGGCATGAGCCACTGTGCCCACCAAACTCCAAAATTTGTACAATCGCTTTCATGATTCTTGCTGGATACCAAAGTCCCTATACTTGTTATTCTTTTCGAATCACCTTTAAAATGTGGAGAAATGTATTGCAAAGGAAACTCCACATTCCAGACTTTAAAGGAAAACAGCAACACTTTCTGTCAACAGAAGCTCACCTCAGACCTAGCTACTAGCTAAATTCTAGCTAGAATCTCATTGGCTCAAAAACTCAGCCTGAACCTTTTCTTTTTCTCCACCGATTGAAGATTAGTCTTTGTTAAAGACACACCAGCATGGGCTAGCACATTTGTCTCCAAATGTTCAGAAGAACTGTAAGAAAATAAAGAAAAATTTCCACTCAGAAAAGCCAGACACCAGCTAAAGCAAGTGGTCCTCCACTGGCCTCTCCCATTCTGTCTGTGTCTGTCTGTCTGTCTCTCTCTCCATCTGCTGTGGTTTTGTTGCTCTCCATCTTTGTCTCTGACTCCTCTTTGGCTTTTCTCTATCTCAGGGCCTCTGTGTCTCCCATTCCTCTCCCTCATTTTCTTCTTCTTATCTTTTATCTGTCTGTCTTTTCCTCTGCTGTGAACATTGGTGGCTAGTGAGGGGTTCCAGTGTCCTAGGAGCAAGGAGGTCAGTCCTCACAGTGGTTTCTTACCTATCAGGACATGGCAGGGGCTTAGGTCAGGACAGGAGGAACTGCAGTGTGGCCTTGAGGCCTTCTAACTTGGCAGAGTCCTAAAGAAATTGGGCCCCATAACCTAATGGACTGGAATGAGAAGGCCAGAACGTGGAAAGCAGATGTCAGAGTGTTAGTGGGCAACCTGGGGGCCTCAGGACCCAGCGCCAGCTGCCTGGCCCTGGCTAATGAGGCCTGGGAAAGGAGGGGGAGCTCCTGTCTCCCCAACATGGCACATCAGCGAGTGCCAAGACTTCCCCTGCTGCTAGCCCACCAGGAAGGCTCACACCTGGCTTCTCTCCAGGCAGCAAGAGCCTTTTCTGCTCTGTTGGATCACCTGGTGTGGTGGGGACACTGCCCTGCCTAGATGTGGGCCTCAGCCTGTGCCCAGAAAACCTTGAGCTGACAGCCCAGCCCCTGCCTCTACCAGGAAGGCCACTTGAGCAGATCAGCAGCAGAGCAGGGAGTGAGGACACATGAGCCTGCCAGTTAGTGAGCCTCCAAGGGTCCAGGTTAGTGAGGATCCCAGTCCCTCTAGCAGCCTGAGTTGCCCCGCCATGGGGGAGCAGGGGTCCTCTGACCAACAGCCACTGCCCCAAACAGCCTCTGTTCAGGGCAGCTGAGCCTCTGTCCCTACAATGACAAAGGGGAATGGTGCCCTTCATCTGCTGTTCCTTCCCTACTCCCTCCCCTCCCCTCCCCTCCCCTCCCTTCTTCCTCTCTCTTTCTCTCTCTCTCTCTCTCTCTCCCTCCCTCCCTCAGTCACTTTAATCTCTCAGTCTCTATCCCAGCACCCACTCTTTTTTTTCTTCTCGGTGTCCATCCATCCCTCTTCAGCTTTTTTTTTTTTTTTTGTCTCCCCTCCTTAATTTCTCTCTGTGTCTCTTGGTCCCTGATGTCAGTGCTCACTCTGTCTCTCTCTGTCTCTCAGTCCCAAGCCTGGCTCCATCGGCCTCCTCTGTAGCTTCCCCTGGCTCCCCCAGTTCCTGTTTCCTGTTCAAGGGGTGCACCTGCCCCTCCCCACACCACATCAGCATTGCTCTTCCACAGTCTGGCTCCCCAGATTCATGCCTGGACTTTTGTTCAGTCTTCCAGCTGAACAAAAGTGCCATGCGACACGAGACGTCATCCACGAGAGCAAAATCAATCTCTCTTGACATTAACAGGACATCAGGCAAATTAGTGCAAGAGAGAATGCACTTAGGGTCAGTTGATTTTTCAACAAAGGTACCAAGGACACACAATGAGGAAAAGACAGTGTCCCCAACAAATAGTTTTAGAATAACTGGACATCCACATGCAAAAGTGGGATTGGATCCCTATCTCACACCATATGTAAAAGTCAACATAAATGGATCGAAATCTTAAACATAGACCTGAAACTGTAAGGCTGCTGGGGAAACTCCATGACAATCTGAACAGTGACCTTTTTCTTCTCTCTTTTTTTTTTATATATGACTCAAACAACACAGGTAACAAAAACAAAAATAAGCAAATGGATTATATCAACCTAAAAAGTTTCTGCACAGCAAACAATCCTCCAGAATGGGAGAAAATATTAAGGGATTAATCTCCAAAAGACATAAGGAACTTACAGGGGACAACTTAATAGCAAAAAAACAAACAAGCTAATTTTTAAACTAGCAAAGGATCGGGAGACACTTTTCTCAAAAGGCAACATACAAATGGCCAACCGGTTCTTAGGAAAACACTCGACATCACTAATCATCAGAGAAATGCAAATTCAAACCATAATGAGCAATCACCTCATGCCTGTTAGAAGGCTGTTATCAAAAAGATAAAGATAACAAGCTTTCACAGGGATGCCGAAACTTTGCGTACCACTGGGAGGAATGTCAACTGGTAAATCACCATGGGACAAAGTATGAAAGCTCCTCAAACACTTCAAAATAGAACCACCACCTGATCCAGCAGTCCCCCTACTGGGTGTCCAAAGGAAATGGAATCAGGATGTCCAAGAGACACCTGCATTCTTTCCACTGGTGGTGCTGAGGTTTGAACCCAGAGCCTCACGCTTGCTGGGAAGGCACTGTACCACTTGAGCCACTCCACCAGCCTTCTCTTGTGAAGGGTTTTTACAAGATAGGGTCTCACAAACTATTTGCCCTGGGCTGGTTTCAAACCACAATCCTCCAGATCTCTGCCTCCTGAGTAGCTAGGATTACAGGCGTGAGCCACCAGCGCCTGGTCAACACCTGTACTCCTGTGCTCAGTGCAGCCCTATCCACAACAGCCAAGGTATGGAATCAACCCAAGTGTCCACTGACAGATGCAAGAAAAAGAAAAGGTGGTATATAGACAGAATGGAATACTATTCAGCCTTAAAAAGGAAGAAATCCTTGCCTTGCCGGAACTGGAGAACATTATGTTAAGTGAAATACACCAGGTACAGAAAGACCGTACCACATGGTCTCCCCTCTATATGGAACCTGAAGTCTGAGGAGAGTAGAATGGTGCTTGCCAGGGTGCACGGGGTGGGTGGGGTGGGTTGGAGAGATGTTGGTCAGAGGATACAAAATTCCAGCTAGACAGAAGAAATGAGCTCGGGGATGTATCGTAACAATTCGGTGAGTGCCGTTAATAATGATGTATTGTAGCCTTAAAAATCTTGAAGAGATTTCACATGGTCTCTCCCCCTCCCCCACACAAGTGAGGTAATGCATATGTTAATTAGCTCAATTTAAGCATTCCACAGTGTATGTATCTCTGTCTTGGCTGACCATGACGGCATACACCTGCAATCCCAGCTATGTGGGAGGCACAGGAAGGAGGACCGCCATCCAAGGCCAGCCCCAATGCAAAAACTTGATACTTTATCTGAAAAATAACTAAAACAAAACAAGGACTGGCAGGCAGAGTGGCTCAAGTGGTAGTGTACCTGCCTAGCAAGCACAGGGCCCTGAGTTCAATCCCCAGTACCACCAATAAATATAAATACTATTTTTATTTATCAAGTCAAATGAATAAGCAGTTTTTAAATAAAAAGCGTAACTACAGAGAAAATTCAACAAAACAAAGACTGCTCTGTGAAGGCTTTCTCTTTGTTGAAACTTGCTTGTTTATGTACAAGTACTTAAGGTTCTTTAAATAAGTTAATTTACAGACAACAAGCAGGTAGAACAGTCAGAGATCACGACCCACACACGTCCGAATTCCACCCTGCTTTCTTTCTCATTTTCTCAATTGTAACTGCCTTCCCCGCCCCCGCCGCCGGCCCCAGGTCCCCCAGGTCTCCCCAGCTAGTCTGCCCTCGGCCAAGTCCTTTGATCTCTGGGTGGTTTTCTGCAATGTCTGTCCAGTGTTATGCTGGGTGACTCCTCTTATCCCTGATACCCTGTCCTGGGCCCTCAGGGGAACCAAAGGGCTCATGGAGGGGCAGGTGACTGCTGTTTCTGGGACAGGCAAGCCAGGACACCAGAGCCAATGTGCCAGCTGACTGAGTTCCCACCACTTCCCCCAGGCTGAGCCTGTCCCCAACAGTAGGAAGGGCAACCCTGGCAAGGCCACCAGTCTACTCCTGGCTTCTTGGATCTCTGTCAAGAATCAACCAAGAGGGAAAAGCAGCAGGGCCTTGTGACGTGGGAGAGTTAAGAGGTCAGGGCCCAGAAGCAGGCCCAGGTGGGGAGGCCACCTCCAGGGAGATGGGGACCAAGGCCTTACCCAGGGGCCCAAGCCCCGTAAAGCTCAGGCCTCCCTTTAATTAAGTGAGGGGCCTCCTGGCTTGTCACCATACCAGTTACACCATCTGCCAAGAACAAAGCGGATTCCTTTTGAAGACTCGGGCTCAAGGCGTCCACCAGCTCCCTTCTGGGGATGCCCAGCCTCTGGCCTTGTTGCCTAATGCCACCCACCCTCTGCCATTGCCAGGTTCAGAACTGGCCCGTGGGGGGGGCCACAGGCTAAGTGAGGTCTATGCAGGCCACCCACGGCCAGGTCCTCACTCACTGCACGCAGGAGCAGCCTGTGAGCGATGTGCTCAGGAGGTCTGTGATGCCCATGTCCACATCGTCATTTCATGGACATTTGACGTCAGCATTTACACCACAGAAAATGGCACACGCCACCAAAATCCAAGGGGGCTTGGGTATTTTTCTTTTTTTTCCGTGGAGAGTTGGTTGTTAAGCCCATCACTGACTCAGAGAACTGCCCAGAGACAAGTGAGGGGCCAGCTGTTCATCTCCCAGGAACCTGGGAGTCCAGAGACAAACCCCAAGGGAGGAATGGCAGGGGAGGGGAAGGAGGGAGACGCTCTTACTGCATCTGGAGATCGAATCTTTGAGCTAATTTTCGCATCCGTTCTTGGCAACATTTTAGCAGATCTACTTCCTGAAATGAAAAATGTCAGAGAAAACAGACGCAGGTCAAAACTTCACAGGCAGAGCCCTCATCCCCGGCCTTTCACAGCCCATGTGTAACCCCACATGGTGAGAGTCCAGGGTGGGGATCCTGCCTCAATGACCCCAGGGCCTCGGGGCTAAAAACCCTGTGAAGCCTTGGCATTCTTTGCCCCCTTTCCCTTCCCTGCCCTGCTTTTCTCTTTCCTTTTCTTTTAAGTTTGTTTTGTTTTGTTTTTTGAGACAGGGTCTCAAACTCTCAAACTCTCTATGCTGGCTTCGAACTCAAGATTCTCCTGTGTGAGCCTCCTAATTTCTGGGATTAAAGGCATGCACCACCACACCTGACTTTGTTTTCTTTTTGTATACTTCCAGATTAATTGAAAAATTTAGCACCTCCTATGTACCAAGTGCTCTTTTTATAGATTATTTTACCATTAAATTAAGCAATACACCTGAAAAGGAGTAGTTTGTGATGCCGGCAGGTGCTTTTATTATTATCATTACACCCACTTTGGAAATGCCAAGGTGAGGGTCAAACAACTCCATTTCTCCCTGTTCCTAGACACTGAGTAAGCCCTCGCCCTGCTTTCTGGCCTCTTACTTTCTATGGGGTGATGCTCTCCCCACTCAGGCTTGGGCAGGCAGGAGACACCTTACCTGGATAAGGTTTTTCTCCACGTTGTCATGGACCAAGTCAATCCCGATCCTTTTCTCCCGTTGGTACAGACACTCCAGGGCCACCTAGAAACAGTGAGAAAGGGCACTTTCTCACTGCAGCTGCACATGGACCTCAGTGCAGGTGACTCACATCTGCCTTTGACACCATCTCTTTTCTTTGAGAAACCTGGTTATTTGTTGGGGCCTCATCACTGTGCTTTTGGTGTAGGTTCAGCCCCCTCTGCACCCTCTGTGGGGCTGTGGACACCAACCTTAGGCAGTGCAGGGCCTGTGAAGAGACAGCAGGATGAAGTGTCCTGGGAACCAGTTGTGATTGGGAACGGGAGGCAACGCCCCTTCCTGTAACCTCTGAAAGCTGACCCCGAGATTCCCCAAACTATAACAACAAGCAGAGCAAAACCACACTATAATCAAAGACACGACAGTGTTAGCTGCTGTCCTCCATATCTGTCCAGGGTTCCACGCCACTTCCTATCTGTGTGCTTGGGCAAGTCGCTCAACCTCTCTGACCCTCTGTTTCCCCATCTGTAGATGGTGTGAGATTGGTGCATAGCTCACAGGTTTGTTACACAGATTGTGCTCGCTTGACAAGCATGAGGCATTGGGAGCAATGTCTAAATTAGTCCCTATGAAAATTTGTGAAAGTCCTTCTTTGGAGAGCTCCAAATGGAGGGAGAGCTCTGGAAAATGGTCAGGACCCAGTGTGACCTGAGCTATCTGTGGTGTGTGTGTGTGTGTGTGTGTGTGTGTGTGTGTGTGTGTGTGTCGGTACTGGGTTTGCACTCAGGACCTTGGGCTTGCTAGGCAAGCACTCTGCTGCTTGAGTCACACCCAGCCCTGAGAGCCAGGCAATCTTACTGCATAGGCAAGGACCTTCCAATTGTCATTCACCCCTTCGCAGAGCAGGAAAAAGGGCAGCTCAAGGTCGCTTGTGCAGTAGGAGGCTAAGGAAGAATGGTGATTGGCCACTAGCCTGTGACATCACAAAGAGCAGCAGGAGGAGAAGGAAGCAGGTTCTATCAGGAAGGAAATACACCTGAGAACTCATAGGGGGTTCACTGAGTCGCTCCTAGGAATTTAGGAGCCCCTCCTCTGGGTCACACTCCATCCATTGTGGTGCTGGGGACAGCATGATGAACTAGACCGACAGGCTCCCTGCTGTCATGCAGCCTGTGGCAGAAAGTGAGGCTGGAGCAATGGCAAGGTAGGGCTATGGGGAGGGGGGAGGAGGAATTCAGGAGTTAAGATGTTAAGTTCTGGAAAGCCATTAATGAAGCCAGTGGAGGGGGTGTCGAGATCCAGTTTAATATTTGAAATCACCCAAACTGCTGGGGGAGATTGGTGGAAGGGAGAAGGAGTCGGGGACCTGGGAAGGAGGCGTCACCACGGTTCAGTAGTGGTGACAGATGAAAGTACATAGAATAGAGAAGTCAATGGCCCCTAATCCACAGGAAGCTACCTGTGGCCAGGCAGAGCCTGGCTTTGCAGACAGGCTGTGGCATGTGGCTTTAGATGCCACTGTGGGTCTCTGAGCAGCACCCTGTCCTTCCCTCCCAAGAAGCAAACTGCAGGAGAGAGGGAAGAAAACAGTTGGCCGCCTCTCCCAGTGGGTCTGGGAATCCCAAAGTGGACAGAATCTGTGGCCTGTCTCCCAGAGGATTCAGAGGCAGGGCATCCCCCACCCAAGGCCCCACTCCGGCATGGGGCAGGGACAGCTGAAAGGCTCTAGGAGGCTTCCAAGCGGCAGGTCCTCAGGGTCCCGTATGCTCCAAGAAGCTGCCCAACCTTGCTCTGTGTGGTCTAGGTTAGTCTCCACAGCAAGAGGTACATGGTGCTGCTTTCCGAAGTAATGTCCACTCAGTCCCCTCCACCACTGTCTCTAAGACTCATTCACTTACCTAGGTTCCTCTACAGCCAGGGAGCCCATGTGAGTTCCAGAAAAAGGACCAAAAAGGGAACACAGGATGGGCCTCCTGGAAAAACAGATATACCCTGATATCAAGAGACAGACGCAGCAGACACTGGGTGCCCCCATACCCCATCCCCACTTCCTGCCTCCAGTGACAACGTCAACCCACATGCTGTGGGTGGCAGAGCAGGACAGAAGCCTGGCACCTTCAGGTGTCAAGTTGAGCCTGATCTGCCACCCTCTGGAATTCTCACTGGGACAGAAAAGCAAATTCCCTTTTGGTGGAGCCCAGTTGCCTGGCCTCTGTTACGTGCAGCCAAAAGCACTCCTAAAAGGGCAGCTCAAGGTCGCTTGTGCAGTAGGAGGCTAAGGAAGAATGGTGATTGGCCACTAGCCTGTGACATCACAAAGAGCAGCAGGAGGAGAAGGAAGCAGGTTCTATCAGGAAGGAAATACACCTGAGAACATCATAGGAGGGTTCACTGAGTCGCTCCTAGAATTTAGGAGCCCCTCCTCTGGGTCACACTCCATCCATTGTGGTGCTGGGGATAGCATGATGAACTAGACCGACAGGCTCCCTGCTGTCTGCAAATTCCCTTTTGGTGGAGCCCAGTTGCCTGGCCTCTGTTACGTGCAGCCAAAA